TCATCTTGTCTCCAATTCACAAAAGCAAATAATGACGGATGAACCACAATCATGGTGAATACCTAACCACTAACTAAGTTCGATCAGAACACTGTGCAATTTGCGCTGCCAATCTATCTTCGGGAGATTGGCTGGCGTAAACTAAGCGAATCTGTTCACGTGCCTAACAGACGAAAGCACGTCACATGTGACCAAATTAATATCAGAAATCCGAAAACACAATGAACTGAAAAATATGAAAACACGTTTGGAGGCGAATAATTCTTTTCATTAATTCACCTTCTAGCCTGTACAGATCAACTAAGAAAATGGTATATTGAACGGGGATAGACATTCAGTCATTCAAATACACTCCGTGCATGTGTTTCAGGGACTTGGAGATCGGCATTAGCGTTGTGCCACCGCAAATGTTGGCCTACAAGTGCTTCCTTCCGCAGCAAGATATTATTCCTCCGTGCCTTTTGGTTACCATCCCTGACTACCAACTACAGAAAGTACCCCAGACCATAGTTTCATAGCTAATTCAGCTTTTTACAATCACGAAATAGTCAAACACCAACAAAACGTAATTTGCAAACCACCGCAGCCAATGCTGAATCTGCCGATTATTAAGAAAAACCAACCATTTCATCTTATTACTTAGTGACGGGATTGTGGCTGTCTGACTCGCAGTTCATGTCCAACTATATCTAATCCAATTTTGCATTATATCTTCTCCAGTATTGCAGGTTGGTGAACCGGGCTAGGTAATCGAGTGTTTGATTTTCTCGGTTAAAGCACTCAAAACCTCACGCTTCTAATCAGAATTGTGGAAGCTGGCAGTTTTCAAGCAACACGAGCCCTATTCTCGACACTCCCGTGGGTATAGCGGCAGATTGTATACTAATGTATAACTGTCTGAGTGCTATCCCTATTGTGACAAGCTGCCATCTCGTGTCGCTGTTGAATACATCACAAATCACCATCTCTAATTATCTAACATTACCGCCGATAGACTCTAAGCAAACATCCACCCACAGACGGGCATTTGAGTGACCTTGAAAAATTACCGTAAAATGGGAAAAATAACAATGTACAAACTGGGGAAGTGTCATGTCTCATTCATAGTCGGTGTCCATATATTGTTGTTGTACTTTGTTTCAACATATACTGGTCGATAAACTCTCCGTAGTCAACGGTAAGCTACATCGACATGCCCCTTATACTTTAGAAATTCTTTAGTTTTCACAGAATCAAAAACTGTTCGAATAATGTATTCACACGAGCAGATGCAAACGACTAAATGTCCCCATAGTTTTAGTGCTTCTCATACACACAGCATTGATTGTGTTCCTAAACGGCAATGGGATTGGTGACTGTAATTACGTCAACCGGAGCTAAGCAACACTCGAGCCACATCAAGAAGTGGCCTGAGTTTTGTCTGAAAATTCTTTACCCTTGTTTTAAACCGCATTCTTCCTATTTAAAGACAAGCCGACTTCGGGAAGGCAGCAATGAAAACACCTGGGGATAGCTAACGTAGAATCTGTTTCACCTTTCCCACCCACTGTTCCCAGTCCCGGTCGCCTATTACCGCATTTATCCATCAGACTGATCAACAGTCGCTCACCTTCACATCAGCTTATCTCTGCGCCCACATTTTCACCACCTTACTCGCTTACTTGTCCACCTGGCATCCCACCTCCCCCATGTCGGCACCCATTGCTAATTCATGCTCGATCATGTGACCTTCCGAGATCCTGCCCACAGGCATGTACACACACACCTCCGGCACATGTTCCCTCGTTTAACTGTGACTGAGTTCCAGTTTGTACGTCATTCACTCATTCCTTGGTATAGTGGACCCGAATTCCCTGGCCCCGACTGTGATTGGATAGTCCTCGTGACAGTCAGTCTTGTGTTTACCCTTATCAATCGGTGTTTACCAAACGGCCCGCCAGATTTTGCTTTCTTCGGCGACCGAAGGTTTTGTCCGCTCGATTGGCCCTAGGAGCTGCTATCTGTATCGGCCTTGATCGATTGACTGTTCGGTGAACTCCCTGTGAGAAAGCCACGAATTGAGATTTGTACCTATGATTGTGATGTAACCATTACTTACCTGTAGTACCGATTTTATTGGACGCTAGTAGATCAATCGTACCTAGTTCTATTCCGTCTTTTGGCTTGGCGCGTCACTCAACCCTGGCCTAGACACCGGATAGATCCAACAGTACTCAATTCAAGTTCTTTTTGACGAGAACGCAATGATAATGACGAGGACCCAACAGAAGTTACTCACCAAATATGGACCGCTGGATATATCGCACTCGATGGATGTGAATCCTGATCCTCCCTGTCCATCCCAGCAAACAATGTGGGTAAGCAGTTTTCTTTCTGTTCCCCATAGTTTGGTGTGGCTAATAGGGCAAATAAGGCAGGGAATGAGAACTTAAATAATCGGTCGTCGGTCAGTAGCATTAGTAGGCTGCACCAGATAGAGGCTGAGGAACTAGGGCTAGAGATGAAGAGGCTGAATATAAGGCAGCGGCAACTGTTCTTAGAAAGACGAATAGTATTAGGCGGCCAGCAGACTAGTGATGAAGAACCAGAAGGATATTTGCAAACCGAAGTCGCGGGTGATGCATATTTTGGAAACCCAATTAGGATGTCTGGATGATGTCGCTGAGGGTCTCCTAGATGAATTATGCAGTTGTAATAGACTCAGAGCAAGTGACGTCAACGGTCTGCGAAAGCTTGTACGGCAGGAGGTCACCAGCCTCAGCCTGTGTCTGGTACAGCCTACTAATGCTACTGACCGACGACCGATTATTTAAGTTCTCATTCCCTGCCTTATT